AGACCTAGGATTTTTTAATTCAAAATTTGTATTCTTTTCATTCCACCGTTAAGTCTCTCGCTGCCTTTTTACTCTAGCTGCTTGTAGTAGTCGTTGAAATGTAGGTTAACAATCCCTTATCTGCAATTTCAAATTTAAAAACCTGCAGAAAAATACATTTTGTCAAATTAAAAAAAAAAAAAACAAAAATGAAAACTCATGAGGTAATTTACGTGCTTTATCCCATTTCGGATGAATAAACTTAACTACGTTATTTTTGCAGCATAAAAAGTTTTCTTGTGGGGTGCCTGCCCCAGACGCTCCTGGAGGTGTTGCATCATATGAGCGTGAAATCTGTGCACTGTTACCTCCCCAGAATCTGAAAACTTCTGAAATAGAAGGATGTTGGATTGAGGGGCTGTATTAGCCTGACTTCGCCTCTGACCACCCCTTGAGACTTTAGGCGGAACACTTAAACTGTGCTGATAAGATTGAACTGGATTTACAACTCAGGTCCCCTGCAACTTGACAGTTCTTAGATTTCACATCCTCTTTGTTGATCACCTAAACTATCAATACATAGGTGACAGGTTACTTACAGATTTAGAATTCACTTTGTAGTGCTTACCTATTGTAAAATGTAAGCATTTACAAATTACAATGCTGTATTGATGTGTATGCATGTTAACAAAAAAGTTTTACATTTTTTGTGATTTTAGTGCTTGTGGATGCCCTAGACATTTCTCATAGCATTGAGCCTTTCTCAAGTTTCATAGCTAGTTTATATATTCCGTTGTAAATTAGAAACTGCTAGAGGACAGTTAAGATGTATTTTTTTAACTCCTCCACTTTATATGGGACGCCGCCACAGCATGGCCTGACAAGCGGGGCATTGGTGCGTGCCCGGGATCCGAATCCAGGCCGCCAGCAGCGGAGCCAGTGCACTTAACCTCTACGCCACGGGGCCGGCCTCTGTATTTCTAATTTAGTGGTTCTTTGGCTGTATTTGGAAGGTGTTCATTATTTGTAGATGCCTTTCAGTAGATGGTACGAAAATAAACACGTCTTTTGATGAATATCTGGGTGTTTTATTTAACAGATTTAAATAGAAAGTATCAAAATGTTTTGGTAAGCAATTCTTTATGAAGTAGTTAAATCTACAAAATACATGTCATACTTGTTTTCCTTTGATCCTTGGATTGCCCTGATGAATGTGGTGGTACAAATATTATTCCAGCTTCACGGAGGAAGAGACTAAAGCTCTAAGAAGTTTTGATTTTGCCGTGGTCACACAGCTAGGGAGATGCAGAGGTGAAGGTAGACCTTAAAAGCCAGTCTTGTGGGGCCAGCCCAGTGGCACAAGTGGTTAAGTGCGCACGCTCTGCTGCGGTGGCCCAGGGTTCCCCGGTTCGGATCCTGGGTGCGCACCGCCGTACCGCTTGTCAGACCATGCTGTGGTGGCGTCCCATATAAAGTGGAGGAAGATGGGTATGGATGTTAGAGCAGGGCCACGCTTCCTCACACACATACACACAAAAGCCAGTTTTGTGATGTCAAGTCCATTATTCTACTTATATACTATATTGCCCTTTAAATATAGAAATTTTATAAAATATTACTCACCATAAAGAATATAAAATATCTAGATTTTCTAATCTTTTCTGTAATATTAATTATGTACATTTTATGTCACCTTCCTTTTCTCCTAAAATGGAAGAAGACCTTGATGGTTTCTTTTACTTGTTTCTGAAACCTTGGTTTTAAGCTACTGTCAATGCGTATAGTATTGTTATTAGTATTATTTGAGTTTTATGATATCCGAGAAGTAGCTTGCAATTTTCTGTTACCAAAAAGAAGATACCTAGGCGTGGTGATTTATCTTAGGTTTCATATTCAAAGTACTTTTTATTTTGTAAATTAACAGTGAAGGCATTTAATATTTGTCTAAATCTTAGGAGTCAACCATGTTTGGCTTAATGCTTAAATTTCCATTTTTAATTTTTACATTGGTAGTAATACTCAATAGATGTTGTCTTTGGGTGGTCACCAACTTAATTAAAAAAAAAATACAGTAATAGAAAAGTAAATATGTAGTTTTATAACTGTTTTGTGCCTTTGTACAGTCTTAATCTTTAATATTTAGTTTTAAAAACTTTACATATTACACTTCATGACATACATTTAAGCCTCATGAAAAGCCCTGGACGGTTAATTGGAGTGCCTCCAGTCCAATTAGAATTTAAGGACCATTTCAAGTTTAGACTCCTTCCTTCAAATGAAAAGTATTTGTACATATTTTTTCAATTGTAAATAACTCATTATAATATACACATTTTATTTGATTACTTTAAACTTTGTGCCTTTTGTTCTAGGCAGTTTGAAAAAAATGATTTTAAGGTTTGGTTTAAAATAAAAAGAGGTGGACCTCGGCGGTAAACATGTTATGCTAGCTGCTGTGTTTTATGCACCGTGGGAGTTTGGTAATCAGGAAGTAAGAAGTTGCCTTTCTTGTTGCTTGATATATTTAACAAATCCAAGCCATAACATCTTAAAATTTTCTCTCTCCAGCTCTGCTTGACTATGGTAATTTGGTTCTAAGCCAGAACTGTTTTAAATACAAATGATAAATATTTTGGCTTCCTTTGAGCATTTTCTTTGTACTACAGTGTGTTCAATAGAATTCTTATTAATGAAATCCGACTATTTTGATTATACAATGAGAAATTCTTGTCATATGAGCAAGTGGTGTGAATTCATTTATTAAAATTCTTCCAAAAGATTAGGTAGCAAACTATATGAAAGAATTGTAGTGCTCTTCTTAAAATGAGGCATAACAGGATTTCAGTTAACATTGTCAGAAATCACTGTATGAATATAAAGTTGCTCAATATGACATTTGTTCATATATTTTATCCTCTTCTATGAGGGAGTTGGGTAATGAAGTGTATATTTGACTGTCGTTTGCCAGTTGGAAAGGCTCCAAACACAAGGAGGCGTTTGTACATGTGCAGATGTTGGCAGGGTTCCCTTTTCTCCTGTTGTCAAAGACCATTTTACTTTCACAAAGATATGTTTGTATCTGTTCTACAATATGGCATGTGAATAATACACCAATAGTGTATAGAGGAATTTTTTGTTTTACTTTTTGTGTGACAAAACTATATAATCTCACATATTTACTTGTTTTTAGTGCTTTCCTTTTTGTGTCAGGGACTTTATACATCAATACTTGTGGGAAGCAGTTAAATCTTTTGTAATCATTTTGTCTAACTAAATTTTCAAGATCATGGAGGTATTTTAAGTTGGGAAGAAAAGCTGAAAATAACATATGGTTAGCAAACAGTTTTTGCACTTCACATTGGATATGAGCAATCTGTCACTTTTCCCAATGCCCAAAAGAAGTAAAAAATTCTCAGGTATAAGATTAAAAATGTGCTTTCCTCTGATTGCTAAAGAATCAGTAGATGCTATCTCTGAACTAAAATTGAATTAATTCATTTACTATATTTAAAGATTCCTACTATCATATCTAAATTTTTAATTTACACGATTATTGTTTTATCACAAAACTGCAGACGTTAAAATTTAAAATAAAAAGTATATATACAAAGAACAAGTACAGCTATTGTGCATTGATAGAGTTGAAAGGAAGCACAAATGAAAATAGGTAATTATGGATGAAGTTCTAAAAATCTTTTGAAGTTGATAAAAATTTTAATGTAAGGATATTATTGTTTTGTCAATTTTATAAAAGCTCAGGGTAAAATTAATATTACTTATTTTCTTAACAGATCCAAGAAGAAGAGCCTCATCTCTAGCTCTTTTAATGTATGTAGATTGTTCCATTTTTAGCAATAGAAGTAGGCGACATTTATATTCTGTAGTGTTTTACCGTGTTTCCCCTGCAGTGTTTGTGTAAACATCTTCTTCCCATAATTTTTTTTTTTTCCAATTTAAGGAAAGGTGCCAGGCTGAAGGAATGGCTCTTAAAACACACCTCTGGTCACCTGATCTTCCAAGAAGTTGTTTTAAATATTACTTCCCATCCTTATGCACCCCAATGCTCATTTTGTAGTTGGGCGTTTTAGCACTGGAAAGTGCCTTAGATAAAGCCTGTCATTTTAGTTAACTTGAAAATGACTTGTTCGTGGTCATGGAAGGCTTTTTTTTTAGGATGTTAATCCTCCCAGTAGTTACACAATCCATTAGAAAACCTTGCTAAGATTAGGAGAATAAATAATTTTTAAGTTGGGCTAAAGGTGAACAGAAAATGTGGTGGCAGTGGAAAGAGAAACAAGACTAACTTGGGACCAAAGGCACTTGGAGTGGAGGTTGCATTGTTAGGATATCAGATTGCTCTTTACCAACCAGTGGGTGTAGGTTAAAAGACACTCCCGAGAATCCTTCTCTGAATTCCACCCCTGCCTGCTTCTGGACTAGGCAAGGCCTCTGTTAAATGCTCTCTTGGGACCTGCATCACTTCTTAGTAACTAACACTTAATATACTCATAATTATTTGTTTGGTATCTGTCTTCTCTTCTAAAATTTTTATTTTAAAGACTCTGTTTAATTCACTCTTATTGCCAGCATAGCACAGTGCCTGGTGCCTGGTAAGTACTTGCTGGCTAATAGGCCTTCAGTGCTGTCCATTCAAAAGAAAGCCTCTGTTGGTTGTACTTACACAGGAAAACAAGATAAAGGAAAGCAAACATACTTTTAGATTTGGTAATAAAGAAGGTATCTTGTGTTTTGTTGATCAATTTGGTTCTGAGATTTTGATAAGCGAGACTTATTCTATTTTAGCTTTATAATGTAAAGTTATCTATTTAAAAAATTTTTTTCAGGACCATGGTAATGGTATGAGTTAGAAAAGAAATCAAGTTTATCTCTGTTGAACTACTGAAGATAACAAGAAGATCCAAGCTCTTGCCTAGTAGCAGTCTTTACTGAGAGGATCTGGGGATAGACCTAGGATGTCTTCATCAGACTCACTTATAATGTTAAGATAATTCTTTTTGTAGAGTTTTCCATCTGATGAAGGTTGGCCTTTTGCAAAATATCTTGGAGCTTGTGGAAGAATGGTGGCTGTAAACTATGTTGGAGAAGAACTGTGGAGTTACTTTAATGCACCATGGGAGAAACGAGTCGACCTCGCTTGGCAATTAATGGAAATAGCAGAGCAACTTACAAACAATGACTTTGAATTTGCACTCTACCTCCTGGACGTCAGCTTTGACAATTTTGCAGTTGGTCCTAGAGATGGGAAGGTAATCATTGTGGATGCAGAAAATGTGTTGGTTGCTGACAAAAGGTTAATTAGACAAAGTAAGTATATAACTTTTAGATTGGTTTTTTGTACATGTTTTTTCTATGTCAAAATATTTGCATTTATATGAAGCAGACCTTTAATTTTCTCCTTAGATGGCAACCCGGTATCTTTCTTTGTTGTATTTGACCAGACTTAGTAAACAAATACTGATTTATTATACATACACTTGTACTCTTAGTCAAAGTTTCTCCGTATTTAGTAAAATGTTGTTTGGGTTCACATGGACACAGATCCACTCTGTGTGTGTGTACACATGTCTTTTTCATACAGTCTGCTATATTCTGTGGTTTAGGAGTCGAAGGCAGAATTAAGTTTTTATGTAGTTACAGCCTACCAGAGAGACTGTACTGTGTTCATGGAGGCCTTATTTTTCTGTAGGATCTGATGTTCTGTGTTCCATTGTTCTATGGGGTCTTTACAGTGATTTTTTTTTTCTTTTAACCATTTAGATGGTTCCTAGCGCTGTAGATCACTAACTTTGGTTTGATATATTACATCTTACCCACGACTTTCCTCTCCATTTTTTTGTGAGCTCTTTGCAGGATAGGTGGGCAGAGCGTCTGAAGTGTTTTGAAAATTAAATGCTATGGAATTTTAAAAGTGTCAGGGACATAGCCTGTTGTTCTGTAACTAATCTGCTTAGTAAGAGAAACCGAAGGGTTGTTGCTTGATGGTGTAAGGGTCTTGTATTTTTAATCCCCTCCTCTCCTCTCCCATCATATGAAGATCTTTCATTGTACGGAGACCAAAAATTTGTGGCACCTGGGGAATGCAGTGACTGTAACAGCAATATATTAGAGTGAGGCGGACGTACTTTTTGCATGATCTTAGCTTGATCCTGTTAAATACTTGATTTTTCCCAATGCCTTGTTCTGATTCCATGCACACCAAACTACTTTGTGATAGTTTCTTGACTTGCTGTGTAGATCCTCCCACAGGGAGTGGACGCCCTGCTGGTATACTTCCTTCCCCACTTGCCCCTTCCCACACTCCTGAACGTGGCAGCAGCTTACACCATGCTTTTCTTTTTTAAAGTGTGCAGTTCAGTGGTTTTTAGTAAATTCACCGAGTTGTGCAACTTGCCTAAACTTTTAAAATTTTTACTCCAGTGTTTTTAAAAATAATTTTTTGTCAGGGTTTTTTTTTTTTTTTTTTTTGATATCAGCTAATTCCTGACCTTGAGTAAATACAACCATACATTGTATTCCTGCATCTGTATTCGTGCATTTCATACGGTGAGCATGGCTCTGTGCTACCTTAGCTCTGGCCAGTTCTTTTTATTTTTATTTATTATTTTTTTTATTTTATTTATTTATTTTTTTCCCCCAAAGTCCCAGTAGATAGTTGTATGTCATAGCTGCACATCCTTCTAGTTGCTGTATGTGGGACGTGGCCTCAGCATGGCCAGAGAAGTGGTGCGTTGGTGCGCGCCCGGGATCCGAACCCGGGCCGCCAGCAGCGGAACGCGCGCACTTAACTGCTAAGCCACGGGGTCGGCCCCTGGCCAGTTCTTTTTAAATGTCTCATGGTGGGGCTGTCTAAATAGCCATGTTGCAAAAGCCCATATCTATTTATTCGCCATCTTTTTCTGAACTTTTTCTAGTAAATGACCTTTTTTTTCTTCACAGGGAAATGGAGGTTTTGCTGTGGCAACTCCCTCAGTGTCCTTTCCTTTATCAGCTAAACTAGTAAAATTCATCCCTCTTTTTCAGACAGAGCAGATCCATCTTTGAGAACTTGTTGCATGAGTTATCTTCTTAACTTCCCACCCCCCCTCCTTAAAATTTTCTCTTACCTCCCCATAAATAAGTCTGTTTATAAACAAGACTCTTTCCTGTTTTCCCTTTGGTTTCAACTGTTTTTTTTTTTAAAGTATTGCTTACTCTGCCTGTGTCTACTACCTCAGCCTCCATTTGCTCCTCAATGGCTTAGAACTTGACTTAGCAGCCTGCATTACCATTAGCAACCACTTAATTGGCAAATTCATGAAGTGACTGATTAGTAAACTTCCTAAAATTCTTCCCTCCTTTGGTTTCCTTCCACTTACATGGTTCCTTTTTAAAAACAAATCTGATCTTATCACTCCCTTGCTTTATGCTTTTAATGACTTCTCATTGTTCTTCAAGTAGCAGGCAGTCTCCTTACCAGGGCATACTCAGCATGACTTGGCCCTCTTCTTCATTTTTAGTACCCTCTGTCCGTTGCCCTTGATGCTTCAGCCACACTGGCCTTGTGGTTTCTTGAATGAACCTTTCCACTTCTGGGCTTTCCCATATACAGTTTCCTCTGCCTGAAGTGCCTCATCTCTCCTCCATATACAGCTAGCTGCTTATCGTTCGAGCCTTAGCTTAAATGTTACCTCTAAGAGAGATCTGACCACTATATCTGACAGTAGAGATGGTTTTTTCTTTCATAAACCTTTCTACTGTTAGAAACTGCTGTTTCCTTCGTAGCATTTCCTATAACTTATGACAGATAATGTTTGTTTATTTACTTGCTTAATGTCTGTTTCATATACTTGGTTGTAAGCCAGTGAGGGCAGGAACCATGTGTTCTCTCTTCTGTTTGCCATCATGTACCCTTGTCTGCCGTGAAGTAGACATTCAGATAATTATTTGCTGAATGAGTGAGTTTCTTTCACTAACCTCTCCTCTGCCAAACCCTGAAGTTTCAAGGTTCTGCCCTCAGTCGTCTTTTTTTTCTTTGCTTTCAACATGCTTGCCAATACACTTCAGCTATTCTCTTGGCTCCATTAAGCACTTGTATGCCGATGCGTTCTAAATATTGTTCTGTACCTCTGACTTCAAAGTCGATATAGTATCAAGTCTATTTCTAGTTGCATATATGACCTGACCACCTAAATTACCTCATAGCTACTTTCTATTTACTCTATATTTATATATAAAATATTAACAGTATTGTGTTAATAATGTCTGCCTTGTCATCCAGTTAGAACCTTAAACTTTACTCATACACTTACCTGTTAATTTTTGTCTCAAATGTTTCCACAATCTGGCTTTTTTTTCTGGACCTTCTTTAGTTGCTGTCATCATTTTAGTCCCTCCAGTCTTCAGCGCGGAGTTACCTCTCTATAAAATAAACCATGGTCATGACCACACAGGTACAACCTATTTCTCTAGCCTCATCTGCACCCCCTCTCCAGATACCACTGTGGCTCACACTCTAGCCACAGGGAACTTATTGTTTGCTGAACCAAATAGACCAATCCCTAAAGTCCATGCATTTGCACTTATCATACCCTGGGCCTGGAATGCTGTTTTCTTTGTTTTAAGACCTAAGACCTCAGATGTTCTCCCCTCTGCAGCCTTCTACAGCCCCAGGCAGAAGTACTGCTTCCTCTGTGCTCTGTAGCATGCGTCATACTTCCATATGGCACTTCCTCTATGTGATGGAAAGTTTCCCTCTAGACTGAACCCTTCAGTAGTGGGGACCTTGTCTAATCCCTCTGCCTGGCATTGTTGGACTCCCAATAAATGTTTGTGTATAAATATATTTAAATGTTTAAAATTATAATACAATTTTAAGAACAAATACTACTATGTTAATTAGTGAAATGTTATATTTTGGGAAACAATGAAAACTTTTTAAAATGTATTTTTCTCTTTCTGCTTTTTCTCCTTTCACAGATAAACCTGAAAATTGGGATGTATGGTATGAAAGCAAATTTGATGACTGTGATAAGGAGGCTTGCTTGTCATTTTCAAAAGAAATTCTTTGTGCTCGTGCCACTGTGGACCACAATTATTATGCTGTTTGTCAAAACCTCTTATCCAGACATGCCACCTGGCGTGGCACTTCTGGAGGACTCCTTCATGATCCGCCAAGTGAAATTGCCAAAGATGGCCGACTAGAGGCCTTGCTGGATGAGTGTGCCAACCCAAAGAAGCGCTATGGCAGATTCCAGGCTGCAAAAGAACTGCGTGAATATCTAGCACAATTAAGTAACAATGTGAGGTAGTCTATGGTGGACTTTTCTCTTCTCCATTTAAATATCACTGGCTAAAATTAAACCACCAAAACCTATCTGGAAAAATGAAATTTGGAAGTAATACATTCAGAGGGTGATAAACTTGCACTGATAGATCTATTGTTAACATCCATCAAAATAAGACATTACTTCAAAAATCACATGATGCTTCTGCAAATAAGTTTCTTCTTACACTTTGGAGACTTGAGCTATCATTGACTGCTTTGCCCCCTGAATGCCTGAGTGGATTAATGAATATTGTTAAGCTATTGGAAATGAGTCTGATAGTTACATTGGCTTGTGTATCAAAAGGTACTTGGTACTTGACTTAGTTTGCATTACTATCATGATTTTGTGAATCTCGTGCATTTACTTTGAATGTCAAGTTAGACTGGCCTGTTTTATAGGCCACTTTTCCTTCTGGTGTGTAAGGGTTTTTTTTTTCATTTTTATGTTTTTGTAATAAGTTTTACACATTCAGGTTACTGTAGGCGTTCATTTAAATTTGGTCTAGTCTTCATTCAGTGCTATGTGCGGTACACCTTTACCGTTAGGGCAGGATTCCCAGGTTTACTGTGTTTTTTCAGAATTTGAGTATTTTATTATGTAAATACTTTTCTTCCTACTTTCTGTGGTTTCACCATTGCATGAGATCATTTAAGGTTATTTAACAGTTACATCCCTCAATGCCAATAATTATAAGTGTACACTAAACATAAAGTTTGGCATATGATGCAGAATGTCATTTTGTCCTTTAAATGGCTTTGAGAAGAGTATACTAGCAGTCTACATCTTGATGTTAATTTTGATTAAGAAAAAATAAAAACCGAGTGTTTTTCAAATGCTAACTAGTCCAAGATGGTAATGCATATGCCAAAGAAATATTAGACCTAGTCCCATGGTTAGAATTTAAAATTGGTCACCTACTTATTCTTACTATCCCACTCCCAATACTTTAACTCTGTCATTATTAAATTCAAATCTCCCTGGTTATTCTTTTGTGTTCAAAAATTCAGCCACTACTTCCAAGCATATGTAACTTAAAGATATCCTACCTTTTATTCATTGGTACTTTTGCAAAAATTAACGTGGTAGTCATAATTTGAGTTTAATCAGGCATCGTAACTTTTTATTTATTGATAGACCAGTAATTTTTACTATAAAGCAGACAGTTTAGCCAGTCTGCCCAACTTGGTCTTCATTACCCCATTGTTAAACATCAAAACATCAGATTTAAGTATGTGGATAAAAATTAACAAATGTGTGAAATTTATGGGCTATCTTTAAAAGTTACAGTATATAAATTGACTATCACTAACATAAGTGGTATTTTTCTGTTTGAAATTATTACTTTTGTTTATAACAAAGTTTGGTGTAGTGTGCAGTATTTAGTTCTAGACTGACTTTATTCTAAATCAGAAAGTGATTAAAATATGCACAACCAAAGCCAATTTTTTCTTTTCATTCATTCAAGAACTATTTATTGAGCATCAACTCTGTGCCAGGCACGGTACTAGCTGCTACACACTCTCTGAACATGACATATGGTTAAGTAACTTTACAATGATTATCAAATACTTTAACGTAGGTATTTCTTAAGTTGAAATAGCATTCATTAAATCAGGATGATGCTTTCATGTTATTTTACTGTTGTGATGGAAATTCTACTTGTACCATCTATAACTGGGTTGCTACAAAAAGGGCAGGATGAAATCAGTAAAGTTAATCCGAGTTTAAAAACTGGAAGGAGAAGGGTAAGATCTCTGCCATTATAAAATAGATTGTGTTATGTTAGTTTTTATACATCAGTACATTACATATATTAACTAGCCCTCAAAGAAACATTTTAGTGCTGGAAGTTTTACAAAGCTGACTTTTTACAACTTTGGGAAACCTTTGAGGGGAGTAGGTGAAATTACTTGTCAACGTTAACCGCTTACTCAAAACTTCAGATAAAATACACATTTTCAAAACAGAGCACCTTTTATATTTGATAAGTATTCATTACAAACCTTAGAATGCTAGTCACAGAGGGGCTGTCTTTCTGTGGTTTAGCAAACATTTATCTTACTTTTTGGAGGAGTGATTGTGATTGCAGAACAGGAAGTGAGAAGACACTGCCAGCAGTGATTGCTACTTGAGGTAGTTTTTTATAACTCCCGTTTCTGCCATGAGATTATGTAGAATTTCCTTTTATCTTTGGAGAAGGTTGAGGAGAAGATAGTAAAAGAATTAGGAATTTAAAATTACAGGGAAAAATATGTATGTGAAAAGCAATAAATATTTTGTTCACTTTGCTATCAAGATGTTCACTATCAGATATTTATTATACAGCAGCAATTTATATTTTTAATCATTGCCCATTAATAGACGCAGTAAAATATTTTTGAATCAGACATTTGGGGTTTGTATGTGCATTAAAATTGTCTTTTGTACTGTAAGTTACTGTTTAATTTGAATATTTTATCAGAACTGTCTCCCTGTGCCTTTATAATATAAAGTTGTTTCTACAACTTTTAATGATCTTAATAAAGAATACTTTAAGAATCACACTTTTCAGACTATCTCTTCAAATATCAAAATTTTTCTTGAGTGGAAATTGAGGTTGTATAGATAAGTTGTTATTTTTTTCCTCTTGTTTATTTTGATTTAATTTTCAGAAACTGGTTGGGTGTGAGTTGGACTTAAGGTGTGTGTGTTTTCTTCTGTTTTTCTGTTTAACTTTTACTACTAAAATGGACTTAAAAAAAGCTTCATTGTGGAATTTTTCAAATGTATACAACAGAATAATGAACAATAGTATAATTACGGTTATATTAACTTCAAAAGTTAGCAACATGTGGCTGAACCTGTTTCGTCTATACTGTAACTTACTTGCCCCCAGCTTATTTTAGGCAAATCTGAAAGATGTTATTCGATTCAGATGTCCACATTAGGCATTTTCTCCTCCAGCAAAACCACAATACTATTTCACGTCTGAAAAACTAACAGTAATATTTCAATATCAGGAAGCTCTCAGATACCACCGGTGTTTTCTCAGAAGCTCTAGATCCAACTGCAGGGGTTCTAAACCACTGGCTATATATACCTGATGATCAATAAGGATAATAACATGGACTGAAACACATTAAGTGTGTAAATTATGCATTCAAAATAACAGCAACCCAAAACAAAACAAACCAACTCAGTCACCTTTAGAAGGATATTGAGGAATTATTCTGAAAGTGGTAACTTGGAAAGAAAGATGCATTTATCCTGCCTTACCCCAGGATCATCAATAATTGAGGGGAAGAATGTGTAGCATATGTAGAATTATTCCAGTTAATAAATGCAGAAGTGTTGCTAGAATGTCACAGTTTTGCAGTTTCTAATGAGTTGGCAAGAGCTGGGCAATGATCATCGATGGCTGCTGAAGCTATTAATTGAAAAGTTGATGAAGAGCTTAATATGGATGGATCAGGATGGCAACACCTGAACTCATTGGTCAGTCTTAATGAAGTGCCTTCTAATATGACTCAATGAAGAGTACCCAGCATCACCTATGAAGCATCTTGCTGGGGGTGGGGGATGGAGGTGGGGAGGGCAGATGTGATCAAGCCCCTAGATCTATCCATTAATGGGAAATACATGGCGCAAAGGAACATGTCAAAGCACACCCTGGGGACGCAATCAACAAAATCCAGAACATGGGCAATTCTACAGGATAAATGACTTGGTTTTGTTTAGCAAAGGAAAGGAGGGGGACCCTTTACATTAAAAGAGACTTAAGTAACACATAAATAAATGCAGATGTCACCTTTGTATCCTGATTTGAACAAATCAGCTTTAAAACAAAGCAGAAACAGATTTGAACAGCTAACAATAAGGTGAATGTCTTGGATGACCTCATCCACTTTAATTTTGCACTTGCTTTAATATGTGGAAAAATTCTAAAAGTACTTGTTCTATACTAAATGAGCTATAGTTTATTATTCTGAACTAAGTTAGCTATATGTCCAAGTTTTAGATAAGAACATTTTAGTTCTTTATCTTTTAAAAAGTTATTTGCCAACGGTCACAAAATAGTGGCCGACCTGGGGCTCAATGCCGATATTCTGGTTGATTTCGACATTCTATGATACCATGTTGCAACTTTTAAGAACCAAAAGCGTAGAGCTGAAGGCAAGAGCATATAAATATAATTGTAAAAAAACGCATTTCCTCAATTGTTATAAATTAGAGGAGGGGAAGATTTGTGAAGGTAAGGAGAGGTAGAGAAATCCCAAGTGGGATACAGACAAGGTGGAAAAGAGAAAGTCAGGGTCAGAGAGACGTGGGGAGAAGAGGGTAGAAAATGAGAAATAACATCTCATAAAAGAAAGGGTAGGATATTTTTCTCTTGAACCTCAAAACTTTAGGCTTCTTATATATTTGTGTAGATTACTTAGATTGCTATTCCCAGTGTGAGTTGACTAATATCTAATGTCTCTGGGGATCTACCTCAGCCTTTTGAATTTTTTAATTTTCACCTTTCTTTATCCCACAGATACTGTTGAAACTCTAGGCCATGCCTTGTACCCCAAGTTCTAAGAATATAGACTTGTAAGAAAGTCTACCTTGTAAGGTGACAGACTTTTAAAAAAAAGCTCAATGAGTTATTCAGTCAGGCTTGGGATTTTGCTGTTAATTTTAGCTTTCCTTTTCTGTGTACATCCCAGATGTTTGGGTAACTCAAAATATTGAAAGAGGTCACCTATAGGCTGTTAGATGAAGACAGGACTAGCAGAAGCAATGTTCTTTCAGTATTTGATTTTAATCCTGAAACAAAGGCAATGGCCCTCCACTGTCATTAAGTGGTCTCACTAATTTTCTGTTTTTTCTTTTTGTATTTAAAGACATTGATTATTGGTTTCAGTTTCTTATAATGTATTTTCATCCATTTTTTTTTAACTACCCAAATTAGTTATATCTGCGGTATCCTAAGGACTTCTCATATAGGTCATCTTTCCATTTTTTGAATAATCACTTAGTAATATTGGGTTGCTGGGGAGGCAGTAGTAAGGAAAACACACCCAACCCAAATTATTTATTTTCTGAGACTTGCTTTAAAGGTGTATTTTCAGTTGTCTCGTCAACAACTCTAAAAGTCAACCTTTTGGAGTTTTTTTTTTTATCAATGTCTATATTTTTATAGTACTACAATGCATTGAGTTTCTTTGATTTTCCCACTGTTACTGAGACACTATATATATTTTTGTGTTCCTTTTATGTAATGATTTTCAGACATAACTTATTTTCAAATGTTTGGGAAAGTAGAATTGGGAGAAGTTACAGGCAGATTTTGATCTTATGAAACTAGTGATATTGGTGCACTCTTAGTGAGATGTGATGAAGTTTTGAGAACAGTTCTTCCCTCTCTTCCTCTAGCACTAATATTCTTTAAAAAGTCATTTGCTATTGTAAAAGCCGTAAATAGAAATCTCAAACCCAACACTCGTCCTCATGGAAAAATAATGTTTCTCAGATGTCATTTGAGAAAAGGCAATTAAAAACAGAGGAAAGATAGACATTTTTGAATAGTTAAAAATGTATACTTACGTGTTTCTGAGAGGGAGGGTTTGAATCTCTTCTTTGACACTTGCCAATTCCGCTAGACAGATTATTTAACATCTGTGAGATAGTGTTCACATTAGAGAAACAGAATTTCCTCTTTGCCTCTATTACAAGTTTACTGGTCAGATGGGGTAATGTATGGGAAAACACTTTGTAAGCTGTGAAGTGCTTTACAAGTATATTGTAATAACAAATACACATTGATGGTTTACCCAGAGAGAAAAAAGGGACTTCATTCAAGGATTCAATAATTGGCTTCTTGCTAGCTGGCAGTGCGCAGCTGCCCATGACTTTTAGCTCTTTATAACTTAAGACTGTAAACTAGTTTTAGCAGGGGGAGAGGCAGCAGATATTTTTAGAAAACTGTGGTTTGGATGAAATTGCCAAAGATGTGATTCAGCATGAGAATTTTAAGATTCCAGTTTCTTGTGCTTCATAGGATAATAATTTATAATCAGCAGGGGAAAAACTTGCAAACTTTCGGGGGTAAGGGAGACCATTCCTAGACTATTTATTACTGTCGAATTAATTTTCGTTCTTGAAGCTTAATTTTTCCATCTTTTGTTGAAATATCAAAAGTAAGGGAAAATGTCAGTTACTGTGATATTAAGGTATGGCTATTTGTTTCCGGCTCATGGTTTCATTTAGAATCTTCTTTAGTTTATCTGATCAAAATTAAGTGAAACCAGTATCTATAACTTAAGTCTTGTCAGTTCTCAGAAGAGGAAACACAATGGGGGCTAACATGGCAAAATATGCAAAAGCTCATTGATAATCATATAAACCACTTCATCTCTACTCTCCTCACTGGAAGGAAGCAGTACCAGTAAAAATGATAAGAGAATCAAATGAAGAGTTTTCATTCTTGGCTTGGCAGAACAGGGTTCTTAAGAAGGGATTTAGTAGAGGGAAGTGGGGGGGGGTGCTAGGAGGCAAAGAGAGAAATCACTGGCTGGATCCAGACATTTTCTTTGCCTGTTTTGATGCCTATACTAAACAAAACTTCCCAAAAGGAATACATGAATGCATGCCCATTAAAATCACCCCTCTTCCCAAACCCACCTCTTCTCTCCTTCAAGTAAGTTGTTGTTGTTGTTGTTGTTGTTGTGGTTGTTACATGCTATCAAGTTGGCTCCGACTCCTGGCGACACTATGAATGAGTAATGTCCACAATGTCCTGTCCTTAACAGCCCTACCTCAAATAAATAACTGCTGTTAATGCTGTTTGTGTTGGATTGCATTTATGTAAGCATACACAGAGATTTTTTTATATAATGGAGATCACACTAACTACATAATAGGGATCATACTAGTCTTCAGCTGGATTTTTTTTTTTTTTTTTATGATAGGCCTCAGACACTATCCATCTAAATAGATCAACTTCATTCTTCTAAATCAGGGGTTGGCAAACATGTTCTTTTAAGGCCAGATAGTTAATATTTTAGACTTTGCAGGCCATGTGGTCTTTGTTGCAGTTACTGAACTCTGACATGGTATAGCACAAAAGCAGCCATAGACAATACATAAACTCATGAGCATAGTTGTGTTCCAGTAAAGCTTTAATAAGCAAAAACAGGCCAGGTTTGGCCCATGGGTCCCAGTTTGCTGACCCCTATTCTAAATTAGTACATACTACTTCTGCATAAAAATAGCCATACTTTAACTATTTCTCTAGTTAATCATGTCCAATTTTTCACTATTGAACACTGCTGTTATCAATATCTTTATATAAATAACCCTGTACATGTATGAGTAGTTATGTAAGAAGTGAAATTACCAAATCAAAGGTGTGCATTTTTAAATATGTAGATATAGCTTCCAAATTCTCCAAAGACCTTTACCAACTTATACTTGGTAAAGTATAAGAATGGGCTTCTTGGTGCCCCTTGGTGTATGAGAATGGGCTTCTTACCACCTGCCAACACTGACTTTATTTATGTATATTTTTATAATAAATATT